CGTATTTTTGACAACTATTGTCGCCGCGAGGGCCCCTTGGAGGTTCCGAACAAGGCGACCCGGAAAAGCCGAATGGCTCAGAGAGAGAGAGAGAGAGAGAGAGAGAGAGAGAGAGAGAGAGTCTAGACTCGCTGCCATGGTAGGAAATGGAAAATCGCCCGATGAAGCGAAAGACATTTGTGCGAATTCTGGTGTTCGCTGGGCAGAGCGTACTATACCCCTTGGCCAGGCCAGAATATTCATGACGGAGTACTGAACGCATCTGATGGCGCGCGGGTTGCTCTCTGCGGATCTCAATATATTGCACTCTCAAGTGGAGCGGACGAGATACTTTCAGTGCAACAATCGGTGGAACACCTCATACTCGAAGCAAGTCCGATCCATTTGAGCGTACCAATGGTCATGAACGCCATTGTCTCTTTGCCTTTCTCTATCTAGAAGCCATGACAGGTTAGATCCATCGAACCGCCTGTTCGCACTACGAGATATAGCGTCGATGATGTTAGGGCAATCTGAAACAAAATACGCACCAACGAACCCTAGATTCTAGTGGATGTCGTCGCCACAGCCAATCCACCTGGCATCAAAGCGTCAATCTGGTTGTTCGTTCCGAAACCCTCCCTCAGACCTCAACGCTCATGTCCCACCCTCGTTAACTTCAACGCGCAAAAGCCGAACAGAGGGACAAAGGATACTTTCTCCAAGGTTAATCATCGGCCAATACCCGAATACATCAATACAGGATATGACCCCAGCGTGTGTGTTGTACTGTATGGTGGAAAAATTAGATTGGAACTTTCCTTTTCGTTTTGCGGATAAAATCTCCAACCCTCATTCTAGTGATTCCACAGGTCCAGCCCGACACCCCAGGCTCTCAGACCTCGTGGTTTCATTTCTCGTGATCGCTTCAGCGAAAAGCTAAAACCGATTGCGGAGAGCGATAAGCCCGGGGCCAAAGTAGGCCAGTCGACGCCCTGAACTCAATTTGAGTGTTTCATTTGTTCTAGAAAGACTGTCTGGCATGGAAGGATGTAACTTCCAAAGTCAAAATCCGTCTCTTTGCATGGCGACTTCGCGGCCGGATTTGCGGGCTTAGGGTTCGAAGAGGTGGAGTTGAAGGTGTCGGACGATGGTTTGTGTTGGGTGGTTGACGAGGCCCGAGCACACTCTGTGTGGTTGAGATTCGGTCATACTTGGTGTGTTCAAGTGTTGCTGTGCGGGCTCGGGTTTTTGTTTTGAACCCCGACTGGAATGCCGTCGTCTCGGGATGTGGTCACAAAGGAAGCGTTGATTGCGCACAGACTGTTGTTAGAGTGAGGGCGAACACGCGACGCACTGTCCTGCGTCGGGGCGCACAGGTGTAGATGTGGAATACTATACATCTACAGGAAGCTTTGACGGGAGGCGGTCCTCGGTGATAGCTCCCTAACAAGAAATACAAACCAACATCCCAAAACTTCCCTCCTCGAACGAGATCTCCAACTTTTCAGACACATGAACGTACTCTCCTTTAAACCATTTTCCAAATCAAGCCAATGCTCCCAAAAAACAACCCCAGTATCAGCAGCGCTTTGAACATATCGCAAAAAGTCGCTTGGCTGTGCCACGTTGCTGCGGCTGCGTTTGGGCGTCGAATGTTGTCTTTTCTTTTCCTTTTTCTTGGTCGGCGCCAGTCCACTGAGATACAGTGGGCAAGACACGAATCATTTCCCTGCAGGGCGCGATGCCGCGAACAAACCTTGGACTGAGTAAGGAGACAAAAAAGTTAGTTCGTGTTCTAGAGGGATTCGATTGAGGTTCCATTCCTTGGCGGTGTTGGGATACACGTGGAGCCCGTGCGACCCGTGGCTCGAGCCCTCGAGTTCCCGCATGGGAGAAGCCCGGGCGCGGTGAAGAAATCCGACTTGGATACTGGGCCTGGGAATGAGAAGTCACTGACGATGAGGTGCAGGTAACCCAACACTGAGAATTGTGAAGTGTAGATCTTGGAGGGTTTGAAAGAAATGCGTGGCGTAGAAGGACGTTCGCCTTGCAACACACTAGAATCAGAGCGCGAAAGCGTGGGGATTTGGAATTAGAATCGAAGATCCCATCCAAGTTATGCCAGCAATTACATGAACGAAAAGCCCCTCGTCGAGCCAGAAAACCAATGACGTGTGTTGTCAATTGTTGGTGGAAGCAACGCTTAGCGAATGTTATACGCTTTCCCGACAACTCAAGCACAGTGATCAACTCCACCCCCGGAATGTTTGGGTGGAAAAAAAAAGAAGAAGCGAAAGTATCAAGGAACGTCGAAAAGGACGCATGGGACTTTTGCCGGTGTCCAACCTTTTGAACAAAGAAAACCGTGCTAGGGCTCCGGGGATGTATTGCCGGGCGGTTAAGCACCCATCGAGGCTGAACTTTGTAAGACTCAAAGCGTACTAGAGGGAGGGGGAAGCTTCGAGATGATAGGTCTCTCTGACGTAGTCGTGTTCTTGGGAGAAACCTATTCCAAATTCAACCCTGCTTAAGGGTACAGTAGTGCGGGTTGGAGGCAAAGTTTTTCTAAACGGCGACCGTTTTTTTTTTTTTTTTTTTCGCATAGGTGAACCACGCGAGACAGAGTCATGAAATCCAGATATGCCGCCGAGACCCTCATTTTGAAGAAAGGGTTCTCTGCAGACGTTGTGGATGTACCACAAGTGCCGAAATCTCACCACGGTCTACCATACTCAACTTTTCCCAACAGGGAGATGGCGGGATTTCCACTATGGGAAGATGAATGCTCTGGTTGGCTGAGACGTCAGGAAAAGGGAGGCAGAGGATCCAACAACCGTACACTCCGATCGCATGGGTCAGAAACCCAGCGGGAGGGCATCACGATAAACACGTCGAATAGGACGTGTGTATCACGTACGAGTCAGAGCAAGAAGAGGGGGGATTGCTTCCAACGAGCTGGCTTGCCTTCTGGAGTCTCGAAGCAAATCAATTCGGACCGTTAGAACACGCCTCGACGCCTCGTGGATAAGGCGTTGTACCTGCTGATCACGTGGCTGCTAGTCACCTCATGAAACCCATGGGAGACTGTGCCACGATCTGGTCGATGATCGACCCCCTTGACCGCTGTAACCAGGTCCCCTCAGTTTTCAGTCCTCAGTCCTCACTTCTCAGGACAACGTGGAAGCCGGGAATTGTCCGAATGACTCGTGCGGTATTCGAGCCAGGGAACGACATCGGCTTTGCGGAAGTGTTCTAGAAAGGCAATTGCAAATTCCATGGTCCCCAGCTGCCCTCTAATCGAAACAGTCACCTTGTACCCTGGGTTTCGCGCCACGAGGACAACTATCGGATGTAGTATACCGGATGCCCTACCGCAGCTCGCTCAAATTCCGAGATCGTCGGCCTTTTCGAGAGATCTACCATGGGTCTATGCTGGGTAGGATCGCCCAAGCATGTACTTGTTGGCGTATTCTGAAAAAAAAAAAACGTCATTGTGTGCCTCTCCGCTGGCTGGACAGAGTGACTTTCAGGATCCATTCCACCAAGAGCAGTTAACCGCGAACATCTTTGAAGCTGCGGCCTATCATTCTCAACAGACGAAGTCCATCCTTTCGCGCCTCCAACACCCAGAAAGTTCAAAGAGAGCTGCATGGAATACACCCTCCTTCCTGTCTCCCCGGCTATCTCGACCCGACATGACAAGGAAAATCAAGTGGAGAGTCGAACAGTCAACGAGGCATCGAGGATGCGGAAAGCGGTCCACAACTGTAGAATGATCCGCTCTGTGGACCTCCTCCGACCCAAACAGGACTAGCTCCGTCACTCCTCTGAGCCCAGATGAATCCACCGCCGACCACGCCTCCGCCTATCCACGCACGGCGCTATTGAAGCCCCAGCACGATCGAGCGTCGATCCGCCAATGGATCGATAAGCACTTGTCAAGGTTTTGACCGTCCCCTCACGAACCATTGCTTCAGAGAAGATGTCCTGATTGGGTCTCATACACGACGACCGGGGAGTTGGATCCTGCACTAGGCCTTGCTTGGTCGGGGCACGGTGGGGAGGGTGGCTTTGGTTTAGCTGTGCTATTACAGTACTATTGGTAACTTGGTGCCATCATCATGTATCGAATGGTCTATGAATGTATGTACCTGGTAGGCTGGTGCAGAGGCGAAGAGGGAATGAACCGTGAGTCACAATGTGAGTCTTGACTTTCTATCTGACGAAGCTGGCGTGACTGATATTGATTGCAGCCCGTTAGATCAATGATCAAGCACGGGTCTGCCTCATGAGCGAAGAGCGTTCAAGATCATCGCGACCATGACATACAGTCATACCCAGTTACACACCTCCCCAGCGAAAACCACTGAGCATCACGTATTGAAAAATACAGACTCAACGAGCAGTCGAGCATCGAGCATCGAGCACAACCTCGATGTCCACGATCCACAGCCGCCAACCAGTCACATCAACCAGACCGGGGGCTAAGATTACCCAATCCAGATGGATGCCGAGCGAGTCAAACCGTCAATGACATCGAGACCCGCGCTAGACCCGCGCTGCGGCGCTACTACTGTACTGTTGATCACCGTAGGCTACATCAACCCCCTTTCTGATCCTTCCCCCGGCTGGCTTACCGACCGGTCGGTTCTACGGGGCGTCACGGGACACGCTAGTGCTTGAGGGGTCTGATTCGGGGTTGGGTCTGGCCTCTGTAGCGGGTATAGTAGGTTTCTCTCGGGGCCCAGGATCACAGAGCTTGCGGCCAGCGATGAGATGACAGATGAGTAGGTTCAAGTTGAACTGCCGGGCATTGATGAAGGTCTTGGAGTGATTCACTTGCTTCTCCAGACTGGTTCAATCTTCTCAGCGTACTTGGGTCTAGGATATTCGGCAGAGTGTTCTTGTATGCTTGGACGTTTAGTGGTCGCTACCATCACAAAAGGGTCTAAGCATGAAGCCAAGTCAGAGTTCGAGCAAGAACTGGAAGGACTCTCGCGGGACGTGGAAGCTCCTCCATGTTGATACGACTGTCTAGGCTGACACCAAATTCTATACAAACGTACATACAGCATACAGTATGAACATGTACTAACCTAACTTATGTAGTGCGTACCTACCTGTCATCACTCATGAATTCTGACTAGTTCGAATGATCGACTTGACTAGAACCCGGGGTTTAATCTAAACGACCCAACGGGCTGGATTGATTTTGTTATGTGGCTTGCACGAAATTCTTTTTGCACCGTACACAGAGACCCTACATTTAGCGCCCAGGTTTTCCAACAGAATTGAGGGAATTTCCTGTCATTGCAGAGGTATCAATGTGCTCTAGAGTACCCAGTAACCTACTACTACTACTACTACTACTACTACTACTACTACTACTACTACTACTACTACTACTACCAGTATCATCTACTGCAGTACCCTACCAAGCAGTGTCATTGGTGTTAAGCCTCATCCCCGAAGGATTTGACTTTTGTAGTTTGTAGCTTGGATCATGTTGCTCTCCCGCATGACCAGAGCCGGACCGTTTTTCCTGTCTTTGGCCAAGGCCGGCGGTGCATTTACTTTCTTCTGTCTTGGTTGTTTTCTCAGTCGTTTATGACCTATCGTTGATCATATTTGTTTTTTTTTCTTTGGCACTCAGTTTACATAATCCACGAAGGATAGCACCCTAACTAGGTACCCACTACCTATACGCAATTACGCACGTCTTATCACCTCAAGCATTCCGTCTCCCCACGAGTGTACCCGACATGCCATGTGAACACCCAGGCTAGTAGTCATGGAACGTGCCTCTCTGGTTCAGGTTCTCACCCCGCACGTAATCCAAAGAATAGCGAGAACATAAGGTTCGGCATATGGGTCACAGGAAACGTGTGAGGCCGCAAGAAGGGATCCGAATGGCGGGATTCTCATCCTCATCCTCATCCTAGAAAAGTACCTCGGACCGCGAAACGTCGGACATATTACCTTGTAATAGTATGCCTACCACGTTGTGCACCGCTGGCTTACCCTTCAAGGTTTCAGCGCCCAGGGCTGTAGTCCGGTGCGATAAGCGGTGGAACCGGACGAGAGTGGGAGAGAGTACAAGGGCGGCTAGGGTTCGGTCGCGGCGATCATGGATGTCGACCACGGTTGGGGGATTTTCGGGAGCCCGGAGAATGGAGCCGTCAGGTTGGCGTTGGAGATGATTGATTCTGCAGAGATGAGGGGATAGTGCGATGGAGAGTTAGAAAGGCACTGTGTGTGTTCAATGAGGATTTTCTTGTCTATGAGTAGCGATACGCGTGAGATCTAAAGGGGGTTGGCGATCAGTTTAGGAAGTAGGCAGACTTGGTTGCAGGTGGTCGAAGGGGCTGAAAGCGGGTGGGTAGAGAGGTGACTCGGTCACGATTATCCCTGTACATGGATGTTCCATCGCCGGGACAAGTAAATACTGAATCTGTACATTAATGTATCAAGTGCCATAGCATTGCAAGTGACGAGGGAAACCCAGCGAGGCAACTGGGCAATTGGGAGCTAAAGACCCGCGGTGCATGAAGCGGCGATACATTGATCGTAGATATTGATACTGGGCCTCGGTGCGGACCAGGTACCTCATCTGGTTCTTATCGTCATACACTGCCTCCAAATATTGGATCTAGTCCATCGCAAGTATGACAATTAATCATCGCACGCCATGGATATCGAAAGCCAGCCCCTCGTTCCTCACAGGTGCTGTGGTTCGGCAGTTGGCGGTTCAGCGGTCGGACGGAAGCGAAGGATGAGGCAAAAAGAGCAGGGGTCTCGTTAGACTTGGTCCAGCACAACTAATCAAATGCCTCTCCGTAATCTGTGCACTACGTGTAAAAGGGTATATTACTTTGATTCGTAGAGTAGTAGTTCTTGGTTCTTCTATATAGTACGTAGTAGGTACTAAATATCGGTATGTACTATGTAGTAGGTTGTGTACCTAAGCTTACCCCGGGATTCGAATTGATCACCCCTGTAACCTTTTCAAGGATCGCTCTTTGTTCATGGAAAAAGCCAAATAGAAGCCACTATGCACGAGCGGCTCCAACTGGCATAGTCCAAAAAAATATCTTAGAGTGATCCATGATGATGGTCTGGTCGAGCCAACCTTCAAATCCTGATGCCTGGCCAAGGCTTATCTATTTATGACCGAAGGCTCGACAGTAGGTAGCAAGTAGACACCGTACAAATCTCCGCCGCAAGCCGTCTTGAACCATGAGGCGGGATAATAGACGTAACTAGAGAGTAGGAAATTGCAAGAAAGGTCATGGATTGGCTTGTGATCCACTAAGGGGCGAAGATCATGGTCGATCCACCGAGCAGGAAGTGGGAGTAACGGAGACACGTTGATCATCATCATGTGTTCAATTGAACAGACTACTCATTCCTCACGTCGAGAAGAGGAGCGTTCTGGATGGCTACGTTCCAGTTTCCGAACGATGATCGACCATGTGCATAGGCTAGAACGCCACGGGTGAATAGTGGGTTGGAGATTACTTGGGGTCATCCCATGGCCTCCGAGTTCGTCTTACGGCTAGATAGGTCATAGAGAGATTATCGCTGCGTCACCCGCGAGTTTGCAGATGTATCTCTTTAGACCGTCTCTTGTAAATTTCATTGCTACTGGCAATGAGAATGCGGCGCTGTGCCTCAGCGATGATACGGAAATAAAGGTCGCGTCGTCAACGAGGACGGAGATACGGAGAAATACTGTGTAGTTCCGGGAGGACGAGACGGCAGTGACAGGAGTCAATTCGGATGTTTCATCACAGTTTCGTGACCATGGAAAGACCAAAGTCTGTGCGGGGGGAGCAGGAGCAGCAAGAGGAAGATGTGGTCCCTGACCTGGTCATGAACTGTCTTGAGTGATCACTGATCAATAGGTGAATCAAGACACAAAAACCCCGGCGCCAGGTCGGCTACTCAACGCCAAAATTCCGAATTTGTTGGTTTACTAGCTTGGACGGATGCGACCCTGGGGATCTTGATCGTCCAGCAAAAGGACCGGCAAGGCGCACAGCTTATAGTTTAAGGAGATTATTTCCGGCAATGTCACCAGTCGCAGTGCTTCCAAGACCAGGTGACGAAGGTCAGATACGAGGAACCTTAGCTCCAAGAAGATGAAAGATGACCACCATGAGTCCGCTATCAAATCAGTCACTGCCCTTGGGCTGAAGACGCTATGCATCAACATGGTGACTTGCATCTTGATTCTGTAGTTTAAAGACCTGTGCCACGAATAAGTGCACACTCCAGGCTCAGAATGAATGGTACCAGCCATTTCTAATAGCCGTAGAAGCTCAGTTCAGACGAACGAACCTGCTCAGCAACAGGTGACCGGGCCGCGCTAACCCCCTCCCCTAGACGAGCCAACGCCCCATTAAAAGACACCCTCTTCTGCCCACTTCTGCTCGCCTCCGCTCACCGGAGGGAGGGGGGGGGATTGAACCACCGATTGAGAAGATGGGTGGGTGTGGGAGGCAAAACCATTTCAGTGCATGTTCCGAAGAGCCTTTGGTGAGGAGTGCCTGAGGAGAGAGCGAACGAGCGAGAGTTCCGAGGGCAGAAAACCAGCACAAAAGCCAAGCCAGAGACCGCTCGGTGCTCTGACACCGTCGCCGGAGGCCCGGACCCTCTTTTTTTTCCCCTTTGGGTTTTCGCGTTTTATCTTTTTCAGGGATTCTGTTGGCTGGGCGAACTGGCTCTTTTTGATCCTTGATCTTTTGAATTTAAATTGGAATTTTTTTCAAAATGGTAATTACTGCGCAGATTTCCAATTCTTCTTTTTCTTTTCCCCCTTCCGAACAAAATGAAAAAGAAAAAAAAAAGCCAAAAAAGAACCCCAAGTCTCAAGCCATGCTGTGAATCGCGCTAACATCCAATTGGGGTGTCGTTTCCTTTTACGTCCATCGTCCTGGGTATACTTTTATTCGAAAATCGTTCTGCTCTCCTCTGCGCCGTTCTCTTTCTTATACAACGCCTCATCCTCTTCTTCCATCCTTTTAAACTTTCCAATTTGATTCTTATCTCATCTTCACTCTTCCATACCTCCCCCGCATATTTGAACTTTCGATCAACTCGAACAGCGTCAATTGCGTAGCGCAACTATCAAGCACCGATCCTCTCAACACTAGATCCTACCTCGAGATCTACAACTTTCCACCTCCACGGCTTCCTGTCCACGCCTGCCGGAGCCGTCCCATTCAATTCTCCAGACTCAGTTTCCAAACTCAGTGGCTTCCACCTTGCGCGTCTCAACATCACTTCAATCGATCATCCCTCAGGAGGGGTAAAGCGAACAACCATGAAGACTTCAATCTCTTCCGATGTTTGGGAGAAGAAAAAGGCCATCATCGCCAAGTTGTACATGGAGGAAGAATGGCCCTTGAAACAGGTCATCAAACAGATTCGCTCCGATGATTTCAACCCCAGGTATGTACATTGACTTGATCACCCTCGCCCGCACCATCCCCCCCTCTCGACCTGATCCCGTCTCACTGACACTTGCCATAGTGAAACTCAATTGCGCAGCCGTCTGAAGAAATGGCGTGTCACGAAGCCTTCTCGTCAAACTCGCAAAAAGACGCAAGGCTCCGAGGACCCTGAAAGCGAGAAGGAGAGCCGCACATCTTCATCATCACCGCGCACCAGTCGAGCTTCGCCTGCGGCTCGCAAGACACCGTCTGCCTCTGCTTCTGCCTCTGCCTATCGCTCGGACTGGACGCACTCAGTGTATGGCCCCGTGGAGTTGTCTCACCCGAACAGATGGAATTCGCACATGGGTCCTCAAATGACCACGCCCAGTCCTTCATCCGCAGACCACCACGGCGTGGTGATGGAACCCCACACCACCAAATACAATCTCCCTGACCCAAACGCCCCGGTCAACTCATATGAACAGACTTCCACACACACCTCGCCCGCGGCAGAGCACGTGATTCTCAACACCACCGCTGCAGTGACGCCCTCCTACGCGGCGTACTCGCTTTCACCCGAGTCGTGTGGACCCAGTCCTGATGCATCGTCAAACTCTGCCATCTCACAATGGCCCGCGCGCACTGTCTCTGGCGACATGAGCTACCAGTCTAACATTCATCCGACACAATGGTACAATCTGCCCCTGGAACCCATGGCCCCCTCTTCTGTCGTGCCGCACTCTGCCGCTCCATTGACCACGCCAGCCGCATCCACTGGCTATGCGATGTATCCCGGCCAGAGCGTCTACGCTCCTGGTTACATGCACTACGATCACTCGGACTACCACCACGGCTACGATGCGAAGCAATGGAAGCAAGTGCCGCAGCGCTCACATGAATACGCGAGCTATGCCAACCGATCCACCGTGGACCGGAAGCACGGCTACCCTCACGGCGGCTCTTCTTCGGAGATCCTCCCTATCTCTGCTTCACAGACCGGGCCACAGACGATAATGTGTGCACCAATGGGCCCGTACTCGAGTTGATGAAACGGATCCCATCCAGCTTCTCATCCAAAGCGAACACGACTATCCGACTATCCGTCGGAAACACCTAAACCCAACCCCTCCTGGATGAACATCTGTACGACAGTCATCCTATTTTCCTTTGTCTTACAATGTTATTCTTCCCATATCCATATGCTCTTTCCCCCCAGCCTGCATTCTGAATTCGCATTTTCTCCTCTTTTCCCGCTCTGAAGAGTCGAACCTTTACTTTGACTGAACATATGATGATCACGAGGTGGAAACTCTCATTGTCACATTGATACACCCTGTACGAGGTACTCTGGTTTTTTGTTTTTCGTTGGACTTTTACGACCATCGGGCGGCTCTACTCCTTGAACATGTTGCTTCCCCCTATCTTCCTCTCTCATGCACATGTTTCTTGTTCGCACACAGCTCTATTTTGGTTCCGTTCTCTATGAATTCGGTATGCGTTGTTCTGGACCGGTTTTACCCCTTTCACTGGATTCCTGGCGTTTTGACTCGAACTTGGGCGGCACTCCTTCTTTTTGCGGTGTTCTTTTCCTGTTTTATCCTGGAATTACAGGCAGCCTCGACCTGACTTCATCTTGCCATTGCAACGGCTGCAAGATGGATGGCTTCGAGTCGAGCTGATCTACGACGGACATATACCCACATTCACTGGGGGGACAAAGGAAGATTGTTCCCATGAAGATACATCATTTTACTGCATGACCACCAAAGCTGGTTTATAATAATTACACGATCCCCACATTGATCACCGTCCTACACGTAGACAAACGAACACCGAGCGTAGAGAAGAGTCCGGACGATCATCAAGACGTAACCCACCATTGAACCGCCAGCAATCGTCACAGGAACAGGATCGCGATCAAACGAACACCAACACCGATTGCAACAATACGGTCTTTTTTTTTCGACATCTAAGAGTTCTGCGCTCTCATCTGGTGACTTCGACTTGTGTCCAGACCAGACCCAGTATATCAGCGTACCAGGACCGCAGAGTACACGGACACCGATTGCCACGCTTCCATACATGGTCGTTGTACGCCACTCATATTTCACTCCTAATCGCACGTGTTGAGGTATCCTGACGACTGACGACTGAGCCATGTGGATGGCTCCATCGCTACGTACCGACACAGCGGTCCCTGGTACCAGAACTGGCTTTCGGAATCCCGCCGAGCATCAGTAGCTCCTGGAGCAGACCCTAGTCCTACGACCACCTGCACTGCCATAGCCCTCTTGTGGGCCACATCTGCCATTTATCTTCCATAAGAACAACGCAGCACATACTTTCAACCAGTCGAAGACGTACACACCAGGCAAGACAGACCACGCACACAGACAAATAGATCCGGGTACCCTGCACCACCTTGGAGGCCTAGGGAGGCCCACTCTCCGAATGTACCAAAAGTTGGCACTACCGCAATATCCCAGATCAACCTTCCAAGCGCAACAGACCAGCGGAAGAAGATCCACAGTCGTAGCCGTAGATCCGAGCAGAATAGTATACATTGTACCAAATTCTCCCTAGTTGGGTCTCTTCTACGAATGGTACCGTAGGGAAGGGGGAAAGGGTGACCTTTCTGGAGACTGAAGAGTCAGAGCGAGCCTCAACAGTCCAGTTCAGCCAGACAGATGGTCGCCCAGCGCATCGTGTTCGTGATGTTCACGCAGGGGGGATGGATCTGAGAATGAATGTACGGAGACAATGTGTTTTGAACTAAACTTTAAGAGGGCACTCTTTGCTTTGCTTTCTCCTTTTACTTGTTTTTCTTTTCTTTTTCTTTTTTTGGGGGGGGGGGGGGGGGGGAAGCGGGTTGACTTTTACACAAGGCAATGGTTTCTATTTTTCTTCACTCTGTTTCTCGGCGATCTCTGTGTTGTTGCCAAGGGTGAAAGATATATGGACACTCGCCAAGACAGGATCCAAGAATTCCTCTTCCTGTCTTCGTCTTCGACCGTCTCGCCTGCTGACTGCTCTACTCTGCTCGATTTCGAAGGCCTCACCTCTTTCGCCTCCTACTACGGATCAGCTCTCGGGATGTACCCACACGCATACACATACCAGAGAAAGGTCCATTCGTTGACTTCCAAAGAGGAAACATGTCCGAGATATCTTTGGAAGAGCTCTGGACCTCCAGGCTACACTCCACACATAGGGCATCTGAGTGCAAGTTCAGTGCCGTGGAGGCGACGGCACTCGTTGGTCCGGACCAGGTGTGCGATGTCTGATGTCTGTATGCTGTGGATATGGACAAGCTGATGGGCAAGTGGAGTCCTTTGTGTAGTGGAACACTTTGGACCCTGTACCAGATGGTGAGAGTGAAGCTCATGAGTTACATTTTGGTTTGGCCAGGGTCTTTAGGGAGTGAGATGAAACGAAAGGGTCGTCTCAGATAGCTTGTGTTGACGACGTGGATAAAGCTCGTGAGTCTTTCAGGAGGTATCTACAGCTAATCAAGGCCTGAGCTGAGAGCTTTAAAAAGATGACCTGAGCTCAGACGGGGTGAATCTTGATATCTTCAAATTTTGCGCGGCGGATTCTTTTCATTTTGCAATATCGCGACTCCATGCCCCCTGACATTGCCCTCTGTTTATTGACTTTTCGAGGTCTTCGTGGATACACTGGTGCTTTTTCCTAATGAGTGATTGCCAAGCCAGGTTATTGCTTGACTGCAGCGGATTTGAGCGAAGATCATAATTAGCAAAAACTTGAAAGATACGATGATGGAGTCAAGGATCTGGTACTCGTCATACATCTGACCGTCTTTATTAACGATCGCATCCCAGTCAACGATTAAATCAAAACCGTCAACAAAGGATATGAATTAGAACAACACACTTTGTCCACATCTCGCTCTTATCGTCGTACCTCACTAACTCCTGATACATTTCAAAGCACTCATTTGATTCATTCACCAGTTGCTGCTGCTGCTGCTGCTGTTGTTTCCCTGATTTCGCCTTATAGCTCCAGCCCTAGCTCGCTCCATCCGATCTACCCTCCTTTTTTAAGACATTGGAGTTCGTTCGGCGATCGTGGATCTACGGGTCCATTTCCTGACCACCCCATCGGAGACGTTACCCAACCCGTTGATATCTCCGAACGGCTCTGCTGCATATCGCATTCTCCACTGTTGTCGTGCACTGAGGGGGTGAATGTCGGGTTGTACGGCAATTAAAATTGGCACGGTAGTTGGTACCTACGAACATATCGGGAAAATGGGGTATGATTGGCGGTTGACAGCAAAATCGTGTCGATGAGGGGGGGGCTTGGAGCTAAGAAAGGGTACTACGGTATACGTTTCTTTGGGATATTGTTCGTGCTGTTGAACATGAATGTAGACCTCAATTGCAGTGTAGTAAGACATGACTTAATTAGCTTGACACGTCGCTTCTTCTCAAGTCAACAGCCATTAGGCTCGTATAGTATCCTGTGAAACCTGACACCTTTTGTTCTTGAATATCACTCTGGAGTTTAATTTTCGATCTGTTGGGCGACAAGCTCTGCGAGCCTGCCCCTTTCAACACACCTTCTATAAGGGGGAAAATCCATTTCAACTTAGCGTAAGTGCCCTTCTAATCTAGGTATGTCCTCATACTTCGTACTCATCCTTTCAAGAATTCTCCCTTTCGGTATTAAATGCAAAGGCTTCGGGTTGGTAGTTTCTGGCAACCACGGAGTCGTTTGATAGGTTTTTTTTTGTATTTGTTCGCTTTCGTACCCACCAAGCCGTAGGACTGTGGTCATCCTCTTGTTCCATGGCTTCGGTACTTTGCAACATTTGATCAAGGATCAATAACCGAAAATCAGCACCGTTAGCTTCATCCTGGGAAGAGAGAGAATGTGAACGATGAACATAGTGAAACTGAAAGATTCCATTTGCGATGAAAGGAGCTGAGGTTCGACCGGGCGCCGAATTATCACAAACGTTCAATTACAGTGAATTCTCGATCTAAAATCGATCATTGGGTCATCGTAGTGAGGGAGTAGGCGGAAATAGCAATGCTCGCAAATTTTCAATCGGTAGTTTGGTGCTACTCACAGGGTTAGATTGTGGATAGTGGACAGATGATTCGATTCTGTGTATAACTGTAGATAGACTATATACATATTATTTGATCTTTTTGCTGTGAAAAATGCACACAGGTACTATGGTGGACATTTCGATGTAGAACTTTCATACAACATATTCTGGACGTTTTTCGAAAGTGAAAAGGCAAGGGACGAGCAAAAAGATAGCATCTCTAGTAGGCATGCAAAGAACCCAAAGACACAATCAATGAGCGTATCAATGTACCCAATCCCTTCATACTCAGATACGCTTTGCTCATCGCATCTAATGTATTTTTCCCCTCATGATTTGCAAGCTTGGACAGCTAATCTAAGCTCCTTCGGCTAGGATCAACATCTAACGATCTGCTACTTCTCGGTTGTGTTATTATTCAATCATGTATTCCAGCTTTCCACCTCCAACCTCGAGTCTTCATTCTAGACCCTGGGCTCAGTCTCTCCCGGCACCGATTTTGCCTCTTTCGATAATGAACCCAAAAGGAGCTCTAGACGAGCCGAGTGGCTGAATTTTGGGTCGTGTCTCATCTTCTTCACACCGAACATGGCATATGCATGCTTTGGATCTTCGCAAAAGATGAGCCAATCGAGTGATAGCACAAGAAGAAGGTATATTCGCCTGGGAGGTCGCCACGCAGGTGGCCCAAATATCGTTCTCTACCCACTGTGCAGGTTCAGTGTACCGCCACAGTATCCTCTCATTGGAAGATATCGGGGGGCTGGAACAAAATGGGCTGGAAGCTGCACGAAGATGGATACAGAGACGGGTATTGATTCGCGTCTCGCCATTAGTGGCGGTTACAACGACGGGCAGGTTCCATCTAGGAGATTGGTCTTACTGGTCTTGAGCTGGGGGTGTACAGTGCACGGTGCTATATAGAGACACTGCGTGTTTGGGAACCATCTGCCGGAGACTGTAGTGGAGACGGGCTGTTTCCTATTTCTTTTCCTTTGCCGCACTTCCAGTCTATCCACTGTCGAGAGTCCACCCTCTTCCACTAAATGGTTTCCTAATTGAAGATCAACGTGGTTCGGACGGGTCGGACGGGACGAAGGGTGGTTTGGTAGAGGATCCGATATAGGTTGGGAGATCTTGACTGCGAAGTTCGTAATTAAGATCAACATGAGATTGGAACCTGAGGCGACAATTCATAACTTCATTTGTATGTCGGTGGTCAAGTTTGTGTTGTTCTTGAGTGCTTAGACTCGAGGAATATGAAGCTCGGAGCTTTTTTGAAAATGGGCATTCTTCAAGATTTTGGGAGTCGAGCTTCTGTTGCAGTGGCTTTTATTTTGAAGTTTTCTGGTTCGTTCTCCATCTTGTATCTCGACATGTATTCTGCTTTCTTTGTTCTCTTTTTCTTTTACGGGAATAGGTTCCTCGCATGCGAATGTTCTAGTTTGGCACAAACTTGATTAGATATCCTGTTCGCTACAAAGTTCAATATTCTTCTGGTTTGGTAAACACCAACTACTCACCATCTGCACGCGGACGCCTATTTCAATTGAACTCGCTCCCACAGCGTGTTTGTAGCCGACTGATTCCAAGCTTCACAGTTTCATAAGTATCAGCACAAGCCTCATCTGTGCTCCACGTAAGACGACCAAGTCTCACCTTGGAAAAGGATGAAAATCCATTCGCCACTTAACATACATCCCTCCCTGAAATGATACATCTCAGCCAAAGACTTTGGCAATACTTCCCAATGTCTAAACACCTGTTATCTCGACTTGAGGGGGAGGTATCGTGCAGCGAATGCGCATATTTCGGCACCTGCGTGTTCTCATCTTCGATATCATGAGTCTCGGCGACGGGAAGCTTGGCTGTCAGGTCTTGAGTATCATGCATGTGAGCTTTATAGAGGAATAGACGTGGGATCTGGTGGGCTTGAGGGTTAAGAGGAATGTCCTGTTTGATAGAGATAGAGTCTCATTAGATTTGCATGGTACTCACGCAGTCTTTTCTTGTCTCGGGGCAGGAGGTAAATACCCCTGCTGTGTCAATTGAGCACAGCTTGAAGTTAATAGAACGAGGCTTACACGCAAGTAGTGAGAAGAAGTTGTATCTAGAAAATAGATCATAGAACCGAGAACACTCCATTCGACAAGGATATACAAGTAGTCGAAGCTGAGATTACTTTAAGGGAAATCAAGGATATTCTCGCTTTGAGCATACATTTTCGCTTTGAGCATACATAGATAAACAGTCGGGCAGCCGGTGAGAAAATGACTGTGACTTCAACTTTTGGTAGAGTAGATGTGACATGGTATGCCCAGAAGTGTAAGATGGAGACTTTCTGTTTTTGAACCAAGACATATTCGTGAAGTCGCTGCAAAGAATACTTTCGTCCATCTGCACACAAATGACATAGAAAGTTTTGCATAAATGCTTAATTCTTCCCCCGTGGCGTGTATCTTGCTGGTCTTGCTTTACCAACACTACAAAACTCTATCAGATACCTTAAGGTATGAGTGAATCGAGATTGCAGCATATGAAGTGGGAATCAGACACAATCCATGATATCTCGGGACTCTTGTATCAAGGTGGGAAGAGATCTTGATTATACCATGATTCCATGGTCGCTCGTTTCGCTTCTATCAGAAGAAAAAGCACTCGAATGTCGATTGAATTGCAACTGTCAGGTTCTCTCGATGTAATTGCTTCTGTGCTCAAACAGGAATGTATTCGGCAGACTGAGTTCTAGACCTGAATTAAGTCACGGTAGATAATCATCCTTGTAAGTTGTTTACATTTAGATTAGAGACACAATACAGTCACTTTCTGGTGTTGATTCTTCAACTAGACCGAATCAGTAGATAGCTGTCCCATAAACTAACTCTCTCTGGTAGCGGGCTTAGGCAGGTTACTCGAAATGGAAAAGTTGCTTTTCGTCATGAATATATATACGTTCACCAGCTCACCAGGCAGCATGAGAACAGACGGGAACTAGTCCAGTAGTACAGGTGGTGATCATACCTGGAATTTCTGATCTGGACGTAGATCGCGCCAACCCCCATTGATGTTGAGCTGGGCTGGGAAGGTAAAAGATGTGTCAATGCAAGCCAGGTGTGACATTCGTAGTTTTGGTTCTTTTTTTCTTTTCTAATCTAGAGTACCGTCAAGATTAGTTGCGAAGATAACAATATTCTCCGAAACTGAAGTTGAATGTGGCTAGGCTTGTGTGTATTCACCAATTCGACACCAAAAGGACACATGCATGTCAACGAAGGCAGTCTCGCGATGAGCAGCTCTTATTGCTCTTTACATTGAGTTCTTGTCAAGGTCCTTCTATCGTCCGTCCATAGCAGTTCTCTCTTTTACATCGAGACTTTAGATAGACTGATTGTCACTCCATTGCTTGCTTCCATATTCATTCGAACATAACAAGGCCCTGGTCATCTACCCCGAGCCGATGATTATCCGAAAAGATGCCTCGGCATCTTTTTCTCCACGCGGGGAAAAGCAAACCCGTTGAACGGGGACCGAACACTCCTTTCGATCCTATTCTCTCTCCGCGTCCTCCAACTTTTACCCATCCCATCTCCGATTCTCCGCAGTTGTCGCAATCGCAATCTTGACAATTAGCTGAAAGCGCTGACTTCAGCCTGGGGAGTTGTTATAGAATCTTGTTGATACCAATATCCTACACCTCTTTATCACCACCGTTGTACACTTTTCCCCCGACACCATGCGTGCCGTCCAAGTCAAAGAATACGTCAAGGTGCGTCCTGAACCAGTCCCCATGTTCCTCAATTCCAACATTGCATTACTCCTCCTCCTCCGCATGCTCGAGCTATACGCTATCAATTGCCCGTGTGCACAAACAAACAACCCCTCCCCAGAGACAAATCGCTTCCACCCAGAACAAGTCAAAATACTAACCCCCGTTTCGCTCACACCAGGGCCCCAGTGACCTCACCGTCACAGAAGTCCCCACCCCCGGCCCATCCCCAGACAAATACCTGATTCAAATCCACTCCGCCGGCACAAACTTCTTCGACATCCTCCAGATCCAAGGCAAATACCAACACCAACCCCCTCTCCCCTGGATCGGCGGTGCCGAATTCGCCGGAACCATTCTCGCCCTCCCGACGCAACCCCGCTCCTCCTCCGCGAAACCTCGTTTCCGCGTCGGCGATCGCGTCTTCGGCGCTACCCAAGGCGCTTACGCAACTCACATTCTTGCTCCGGAAAACGCCCTCCTCCCTGTCCCGCAGGGCTGGAGCTTCGAAGACGCGGCGGGCCTGTTCGTTACCGCGCCCACTTCCTACGGGGGCCTGGTGCACAGGGCGGGCGTGAAAGCCGGCGACTGGGTGCTGGTGCACGCGGCGGCGGGCGGCGTCGGACTGGCGGCGGTGCAGATTGCCAAGGCGAAGGGGGCGACGGTGATTGCGACGGCGGGGACGGCGCGAAAGCGCGAGATTGCCAGGGAGTTCGGGGCGGACTATGTGATTGATTATACGGATGCGAAGAAGTGGCCGGAGCAAGTGAAGGAGTTGTGTGCGCAGCATCGGCAGGGGAATGGCAAGGCCGGTGTGGACATCGTGTATGATCCTGTGGGCATGATCGAGGCCAGTTTGAAGTGTGTGGCGTGGAATGCGCGATTGTTGGTGATTGGGTTTGCGGCGGGCAAGATTGAGAAAGTGGCGTTGAATCGGGTGCTGTTGAAGAATGTGAGTCTGGTGGGATTGCACTGGGGTCAGTATGCGAAGTTTGAGACGGAGACGGTGGGTGAGGTGTGGAAGGGGATCTTTGATCTGGTGGCGCAGGGCAAGTTTAGGGGCACGGCGTTCAAGGATGAGAGCTTTGTCGGGTTGGAGAGCGTGTCCAAGGCGTTGCAGGCGTTGGGAGGACGAGAGACGTGGGGGAAGGTGGTGGTGAATGTGACGACGGGGGATGAGCAAGCCAAGCAGAGCAAGTTGTAGATAGTGATACCAGATCAGACCTCGGTGATGGTGTCATGGTCAAGTTTGGATAGGAATACAGTATACACACGTACATAATGCACACATGCAAGTCCACTATGTACTAAGAAGTAAGATCCCCTTGATATATGAAATGGAAAGTTGGAGTCGAAATCGATCAAGTGAATCGAAGCATGTGAACTTGTGAAAAAACAAAATACAAACACATTAGCAAGAGTCATGTGGATTTTCTTCACTATCGAAGAAAATCAGACATATCAGGGAGAGACGCGGAAATCATATCATCAATCTCTGGAAACATCTTTCTATTCCTATATAATAATGTAGGTGCGCAAGGAGTCATGCTCTTGTAAGATGCCTTCCCCCAAGGAAGAAACCCAGGGAGAAAGACGAAAAGAACAACATGAACTATGAAGGCCCTTAGTGGATCTAGCAATCCATTTCCCAGAGCAAAAGATCAAGGAAGAAAAAAAAGGAAAGCGATGTCAAAGAAACACCACTTCCTCTCTCCATTCTCTTCACCAAGGGAAATAGCACGAAGAATGTCAGAAAAACAGGACACACCCCGTAAGAAGTGCATCTGGCTTCATCCACCTCCGATACTCCCAAGTTTCAGCTCCAGTCGGTCACGGCCACAAAACGCGGCGCTGTGGTGACTGTCCTTCGGAGAAGGGTCCGTGGATTCGAAGTAGTGAGGACTAGATCGCGGGACAGCTGAGTCGGGGAATTGCGTGCAAATAAGTTGATAATAGACATTTTCCAGTCTTGACTCCTTCCTTCTTTCTAGAAGAAAAGGACTGCAATATGCTGTGAGGTGGGACAGGGGAAAGAGTGAGAAAAACGAAACAATCAGGAGCAAAATCCCGCATCCAGAAGCATTCTCATCGAGCTCGAATGCACTCGAGGGGAAGAATGGGCTCGAAACGACATCAGTTTCAAAACACCATGTTCTCCAATTCTTGCAGATTTGGATCGCGATTCGCGTACGAGTGGGCTCGAGACGAAGAAAGGAATGAAAGGAGGAAGAGAAGGAAAATTCTACGGCGGGAAGATCACTCGTCACCGCACGGGAGTCACGCCGCGCCTGGCATCGCTTGGTGCTGAGTCAGCAGCATCGTCGACGGCCTCGGTTGGAGGGCGGTTCAAGACCATCGAGGCAATGGAAGTAGTCCACACTTCAAAAGGTACAAGTAGGCATGACCTAGCGAGTTTACTGGAGCACGAATGACGGTGACATGGGTGTTAAGAGGAGAGCACTCTTCTGAGGTTCTATTCACTACTATATTTCCCTCTTTTTCGACGTCTGACCTACTCAAACACAGCATGACGCGACCAAGATATGAACTCATAATATAATACAGATAGGATAATAGAAAGTGATATTCTTTACAGTCACCGCCGCAATTACTCGAAAGTCTCTTGCATTGTCCCACGGCGCTGAAAGCGGGATGTGGATGATTTCCTTTCAGAAGCGGGGATTTCAGTCCTTGAGTGTAGCTTCGTATCTGGAGAAGAGAGAGACAGCGACGAGTTAGCATGTTCCTGTTCAGATGCCGACATGCCAAGACTGCCCAAAGAAACCATAGAGCCGTATTGCACGAGCACAGAGCTCAACGGGTTATATCATACCTCTTTCCACGGAATCCCCAAACTCCCCAGTTTCCACATGTCACATCATGAGGATCCATATCATTCAAATCCCACCGCAAACTGCGGAAGATATTCTCACCCGGTTCCAAGAGGATATCAAATTCTCCAGCACACTTCTCATGCACCCAGTTGATGTCACGTTCCATGTCCCACTGAGTGTATCCCGTGCACAGAATCGGCACCTTGGTCTCCAACAGCTGGGGCAGAGTGCGGGCCCATTCGTGCGAAGAGGCAGGGTGGCCGAGACCGGGGTGGAACAGCATGAAGCAGTCCAAGTACGGATCGAAGGGCTGGAAGTACTGCGCTTCATACATGGTGTGGAAGTAGTCCACGTAGGTCGAGATCTTCATTTGACCACCAAGACGGTCCTCGACGATGCCGCCAAATGGGTTGGAGGGCGTTCGCTCGGGCAGAGGGAACTCGGCGTCGCGGTTGGCCATGGCCTCGGGGCCGATGAAAATGAGATGCAGCAGGGAACGGGGGAACATGTATGAAAGCTGCAGCCAGACGTCGCGGGGAAGGGAAGATTCGGCACGGGCACCGAGGATGAAGATTCGGACAGGAGGAGCCTTCAGGCGCAGACCCTTGATGTCGATATCTTCACCAGTCTTGGGAGGATGGAGGGAATAACGCAGGGCTAGCGACATTCACCCAAAAAAAAAAAAAAACTGATCAGCATGCTTTCGAGAACAGTACACGTATAAAGAAACATCATCAACGGTACAGACAAATTCCTTTTTCTGTCTCTATTTTCCGTCCAGGGGAAAGGGGAAAAGTTATCAACATACCGCTCATACTCTTCAATCCCTCCGCCGTCAACCGATTTCTTCCCCGAACACTATAAGGGCTCAACTCATGCAAGACACTGGCAATCGTCTGCGGATACGTGAGCATACGAGTGACCTGACGCATCGACCGATCCGAATTAACCGCCTCAAACTCCCGAGTATACATGTAGGTATCCCAGTTAGTCATGTTGATCACATAGTTATCATCCTGCACCCCGGGATACGAGAACTCCGGGAAGAAACGGCCCGAATGCAAATCATGATCATCCTCATTGATCTGACGGATCGTCTCGCAGACTTCCAGGTGGGCCTCGAAATCGTCCATCCAATGTCCCTCGGAGCAGTAGATGGGCACACCACAGTCGGGACATTCGAAGTGCGAGTGCGCAGGGGGTTGGCTTGACGCGTCTGTGGGGGAGGTCTTGCGAGCTTCCGGATCATGCGGGGACGAGGGCGCGCGCGTCTGCTGGTGACTAGGGTGCGGACAGAAGGCGTTTTGTTTGATGAAGGCGGCGCGTTGGCGAATGGCGGGTGAGGGTGAGTTGGTGAAGGAGTGGAAGAGGTTATTGGGTTTCAAGAGCGCTCGGGAGTCGACCGAGGTAGAGGCTGCCTGCTGGGAGTAGGACTTGGATGTAGCCGGAGTAGTAGCCGATGGCCTGATGATCGTCTGAGAGGACTTGTGAGACACGCCATTGCTCGAATCTGCGGGCGCTTGCACTCCCAGAATGCGGTTGTTGCTGCGCTCAGAGCCGAAGCTGCGAGTCCATGATGGGGGAATGGCGCATCGCCGGCGGGAATGCGACAAGCTCTGCAGACGAGCGGGATGTCCGGCGGTGCGGACACCTTGCCGGAGCACCTGGATGCATTGAGAACAGGTGTAACCTCCTGCCATGGCTTGGTTCTCCTGTTTTGTGTTTTTTTTAAGTTGTTGGTGATCTTGTCAGTCGGTGGCTCGATGCGGCCGATTTTCCTAGCGGAACAGCCCGGCACGTGACGCGGCCGTGGTAAAGCTGCGCGACTGACGAGACAAAGCACAGAAGAGAGTAAAAGGCGCAGTAGTAGAGTAGAAATGCTGCTTCCTTGCGGTCACAGCAGACATTCAATTTCTTTTTGTCATAGTTGTTGGCAGACTTGTTCTTGGAACCCTTTGATGAAAACCTCGACATTTTGAAGAATCAATAGACCAGCAAGAATTCGTATATCGATCGTTCTACATGTGGTTGGTTAGATGGGCTTGGTCCTCACCCTGCCGCTATCCCCTGAGATCCATTATCGTCACGATAGCAAAGAGATACACATGTCGTCAACGAACTGGAAGCCAAAAATGAATTATATACAAAAGAGCAAGTACCTCAAGCCAAAAAGCAATAGCCTCCCACCTCCAACATCCCGAAAGCTCAAAAGGTTACAAATGGTGTGGAAAACCATCATAGATGAGAATGAACACAAGCAAAGGGTTTTCATCCTCTCACGGCCCAAAAGAAACTCGCTGGCCTTGAGAAATATACAGAACTGAAAATCGAGAAGAAGTGTCTCTCCTCCTTAGAAGATGTCTTCCGACCGGCTCCAATCGTGGGCCTCTCTGCTAGTCCAGTACTTCCCATTGTGGGACCAGAACTCTTCGCCGGTGATCGGGCATCGGTCACGAACGAACCACTGAGGTTCGTACACCTCTCCCTTTGCCTCTCGTTCCCGTCTCTTGGCTCGCTGTTTCTCTTCAACGCGGTGCTTCTCCGTGGCGGCCAGATCATACTCGCCATCTTCCATGGCGCGCTGGTCGGGTCGGAGACGGGTGTCGGTAGGAGGTAGGTATTCTTTCAAAATCTTGGGCAGGGCATTCAGGGTGATCACGAAGGGGGTCAGATTGAAAGGAATCCCCGTGGGCCGTTCGTGAGCCTGCCAGACTAGGAAGGTCTTGGCCGATTCGGGATCCTGGCCAGAGACGGGCGCTTCGAATCCGGGGGTATGACGGGCGTAGATCTTGTCGTTCCAGCGTCCGCCGATCATCCATTGCGGGGATCCGTTGCGGTCCACCACCTTGCCAGAAACTTGGTAGGCCGAGGAGGCCTTCCAGCCACGGGGCTTGAAGTCGAGGTAACAGACCTCACCGGTGGTCCAGTTCTTGATCTCCATGAGACCATAGTTGTCAACGGTAGGATTCCCTGTGATGATGCCAATTACAGAAGAAGTAACCTTTTTCCAGGTATACAACTCTTCGCCGCCAGTGATGGGCCGCAACTTGAGGAACCATGTACCCAAAAGATTAATATCAAAGGATTTGCCATAGAACTTGGACTTGAGAGAGGACTCGCCCTGTAAGTGCATAAAGATGTATTAATACCGCAGTTTATTGTCCAGGGTGGAAGGAATGTTCACTAGAACTTACCCAGTAATCCCACTTTGGCGATTCTGCCCAGGCAGCACCGATAGGAGGATGATGGCTGACCTGTTCCACAAAGAAGCGATACCCCTTGTCAGGGCGGACATACTCGAAAGTCTCACCAAGAAGAGGATTAAAGGGCTTCGCCACACGGCCAATTGTGGAAGCGTATTCACTAGCAGCATAGGACGCGACATAGACCAAACGTTCCATAGAGTCAGATCGATCTGCTGCAATGTCAAGGAGGTCGGTATACTCCAGGTCCTCCGCGACACGCTGCAACAAGGAAGTGGGCTCGTTGAAAGATACAGGAAGGGTCATTTTGGTCATGTCCTTGCCAATCATGGATTTCAGAATGCCCTATTACAGAAGGGAGAGCAGCGTGTCAGTAACTGCATAAGAATGATAAAACCATCCGGTCTCGGGATAGGATCGTGTTAACGTCACATACCCAGAGCGAAATCTTCGGCCGGTCATCATTGTCCATCTTCAGCCGCTGACGAACAGGGTCTTCATATCCCTTGAAAGATGTCCTCACGACCCTCAGTTTGTTTTCACGAGCCTGCGTACTCTCATCTACTGGCTGTTCCTCCACGGCCTTCTTCTCCGTGAAATCCTGCACCTCAATTTCACCCGCGTCGATGGCGTCGAAGAACTCGTCTCCATCTGACTCGGAGTCATAAAGGCTGCTGATCTGAGAAACACCAGACGGTTTTTTATGTAGGCTGGGCTTTGCAGAGACCTGGGTAGACGGCCCGGCACCCCCATCGACCTCACGGGCTTCAACTTGGCTAGCATCCACAGACACAGAGTCGTCGCCTCCGTGGGAATAGGGCGGAAGGATGGCAGAGCGGCTACCGCCAGTTGCGTTCTCGAGAGCTTCCTTCAAAGCCTTCTTCGTTCGCTTGCGCTTCTCCTCAGATTCCCCCATTCGGGATTGCAGCTCTTCGTGTTCTTGCGCCACGCGAGCCATACTTTCTTCCCACATGTGGCGAAGATGTTCCTCGCGGTTCAAGCGGTACTGCCAGTAAGAATCCCGATCCCGAGAGATCTTGAGAAGACTTTGGACGAGACCCCTTAGACTGCTGACTGCACCCTCGTACGCACCGAGAGCCTGCTCAACCGCAGGATCTGAAATCGACATCTCTGGGTTTCTCGCCTTTTCGGCCTGCAAGGAGGCCGCCACGTTGGCCAGTAGATCCAGTTGCAGTTTCGCAGACTGCGCGGTGATATTCAGCGCGTCCTTGTCCTCGTTGGGTGCTTCGTCGTGGGTGGACGCGTAGTCTCCATATTCGTCCTCGTCACCATCCAAATCCGGTGCACTGGGGTTATGACTTGATATACGGTTCATGTCGAGAGGTGAACCACCCCGGTCCACCGAGCCATACGCCGAACCTTCTTCATCGAGCGGAGTAGTCTCCAGGGTGGTGCGAGAGGCTTGGGTGTTGAGTCTGGTTATGCTCGGGCCGGGAACGACCAAAGAACCAGGCGCCAATCCCTTCGTACTAGGCTTGTGACTCAAGCCGGACTCCGAGGGGGTCTCAGTCGCCCGGCCCTCTGCCTGATCAATCTTGGCCTGGCGAAGAGCTTCCGCATTCTGTGAACGCTGCTTCTCCTCTTCTTTGGCTTCATCCTTTGCCCACTGAATGGCATTGTTCAAGGACCAGAACCAGCGCTTCGCCTCGACAACGTGATTGGCTTTGAGATGATACTTGACAGAAGATTTGCCGTGAATCTCAAAGCGTGTCTTGTCTTGAGCGTCCATGGTCAAGCGAGCGATACGCATGTTGATGGCACCACGGCAGGCCGAGCCGATGTCGTCTGTTGATCAAGCACAAAAGGTTAGCCCCAAACTAGGCTACATGGAAGGATACGCGGCGAAACTTCTGATGGGGAGAGACCATACCTTGATGCTTATAGTAGCTCAACACACCATCTTCCAAGACAAACCATCGCAGCTTATATCCGCTGGTGTAGTTGGTCCACTTCTTCAAATAGCCCTTCATTTCGCGAGCATCTTTTCCGGCCAACGGCGCCTCTCCCGCAGATACCCGGCCAGACACCCCCTGGGCATTAACATTCCCCAAGATCGCTTTTTCCTGGATACCTCTCTGTGCGATCGCCGCGGCAGGCGACTTCTTCAACATTGCGCGAGTCTTGTCGTCCTTGGTCACATCCTGCGGCAACTTCCCCTTTTTGTCACGACGGAAGGGATCGGCGCCATGTGTCAGAAGCAGCTCGATCAGCTGGACGTTCTTGTTCCGAGCGCCCTCATGAAGCAGCGTGCCCCCGGTCTGGGCCGTCGTCCGATCCGTCACCAGATCGAGGCTGTTGACGTCAATGATGCCTTCCACGCGGGGCTCTTCCAGGAGTTTCTCGAGGTTTTCGTAATCGCCCTTGGCGATCAAGGTCTGAATTTCCTGGGTCTTACTGTCGATGAAGAGCGATCGCGTCAGCTGCAGCTGCTGGAAGATCTCGGGCGTACGAGCGACATCGAGCGCCGTCTGGCCGCGGTAGTTGACGATCGCATCATTGACAGAGGGTTGATTTAGCAGGTCCTTGACCAGTGTGACACGGCCGAGCTGTGCAGCGAGGTGCAGGGGCGTGTTTCCCTCGCGATCCCGTGCATTAATGTCCAGATTGTCGCTTGAGGACAGGACGAACTCGACCACCTGTGGTTCGGCGCACTGCAGGGCAAGATGCAGAATGGTGGTCCCGTACAAGTTATGTGCGACGTGCGGATCGCTCGCTTCCTTGATGGCCTTGGAGATGGCGTTTGTATCCCCGCTTCTCAGAATCTCGAAGAGACGGAATGTCCGCACGGATTGATCGAGGGACAAGCTGCCACTCTCCGTCCCGGAGCCCGACCCCGTCCTTTCCATCGTGTTCGCCGAAGGGTTCGTCAGGGGATGGTCGCCAGAGTCGCTGTCGGGGTTCTGCTGGTAACTTGCGCGGGACTGTGATGGCTCGAGATTGTGTCGCGGCGGCGATACGGTCTTCTTTCGGCTGAGGTGGCTGTGACTCGCCTTACGCCGGTGGGCGGTTTGGGAGCCGCTCATCGAGGCATCGCCGACAGATCCGATGTCGGTGAAATCGTCCGTGTCCTTGTCCTTGTCCTCGCCTTTCGCCTTGTCGCGATGTAGTAGGGTCAGGACGCTACGAGAGCGCTTGTGTCTGCGAAACGAAGGCATATCAGTTAGTTCCCTTTGCTCGTTTTCACATGTGATCGCCGCCGGAGGGGGCGACAGGCGCGGGTGTCAGAGAGACGACTTTCAGTCCAGATCTCAATCCCGCTCCTCGAAGCTCGGTGTGGGATCTCGTCTGATTGTCTGACGATGTGAGTTCGATCTGAGATCGAGCAGTCGGATATCATGACCAAGCTTTCTGTGCCAGCTGGGGCAGCCAGCATGTTGTCACGGCCGACCGCGGGATTGAGAACCATGGATCGAATGTATTCTTTCCGTCCCCATCCCCCCCTCCTTCGGTAGGTTCAATGCAGTGACGCATGGAAGATTAGGAAAACAAAAATGAGTCAAAAATCGAGGAGACTCACCCTTCGGGTTTGTCGGACATGGCCAGGTGCACTCGGAAGCACCGAGAGTTATATCACTCGGAATGGTGGTAGCAAAAGCACAGAGCAGAGAACCACGGACGGAGTGAAAGAGAGAGAAGAGTCAAAGAAATGGTCTTCTCCAAAGAGATGACTGGACAAGTGTCAAAAGCAAAAAAGAAAAAAAAAACCGGAAGAGCACAGCCCAAGGAGGGGAGAAAGAGAGAGCAGGAGGGGGGCAATTTCAAAGGCAAACCGTCTCCAGAGTCCAGGCACAGACAAGTCCAGAGTAACGGCAGTACAACCAGTCGTACCCACTGCCGATCGACCGTTCTGCTTGGCACGGCGATAACAAATGAGCCTTAAGCCTTGACTGTTCGAGGGTCCAGAATGAGAGAAAATCGAACCGACTAGAGTTGAGAGAGAATTGATTTCCGCGATCCCAGCCGCTGTTGGGTGTTGCGCCGATGTCATGACTGGATGTCACTGGCCGAGCCCCCCTTATATCCTGTCCCTTGCGCTTTGGGGAGGGCGCACCGACGTAATGCGCGACTTGACGTAGGCACGGGTGACTTTGTGGAAGCAAGCCACATTGAATGTTTCGAGTGGGAGGCGGTGATCTCGCCAGTGAAAAGGTGGTGCCTGACGATGTATACCGCGAGGAATCAGACATGACAAATTCATTTGACCTGCGTAGTGCTTAAAGAGGGGAATATCATTGTAGGTACTAAGGTAGGCAGGTACAAAGGTCACGTCCTAAGTCTCCGTGAAGAGGAAGTATCTCATCTGTCCAGTCTGTAGTTCTGTACCCGCACAGAATGCAGAACGGTTGGAAAGGAGATATAGACACTCGAAACATCCAGGCGCTCCTTGCGACTTGCAATCCACCACATCCGTATGATATTATTCATCAGTGTGCACGCTTGAAGCAAGCAGTAGAACTCCAACCTTACAAAGGTCCATGCCACGACCTCGACCAGTGTCCGATGGGTCACCCAATCTGAACTGAACCCGTGCTCATTTTCATGTGATCCAGAGTCGCCGTCGAAGGGGTGGATCAGACATCAAACCGACCACATCAAGTAGCCACCCAACTGAGCGCCCACTGGAAACTTGACACAGCGGCATGGACAAAGTCAAGAGCGAAGCTTATTCGACCAACAGACGATAGAGGAGAACGCTCGAGAAACGGGGGTCATGTGGTATTGACTAGTTAGTTAGTTATTTAGAACTGAGTAATTACTAATTACTAGGTAGCCACTGGCCACTAGTGAGCTAGTAGCTACTAGCCAGTAAGAACGAAACAGTGACCTGCCTCACTACTACTGACTTCATTCTTCGACTGACTGTTTAAGGAAGGAGACGCGTCGGTACTGGCCACTAGATGCATGATTTCCATGCAGGTAAGAATTTACCACGAGTACTTCACCTTCAGGCTCTCGTGGACTGCCTGTCCTAAAGGGGATAACAATAGCTCAGGGCCAAATAGTGGTAGGATTAGTTCACTCTCGCTCTCGGTTGTCTCACCAGGCAAGGCGAGGTGAGTCCTAAGTATATTTGCATGGTAGCTCAATACATATATGTCCATGCCATAAGACTGGAAAAACAGGTGATCAAAGAGCGTATAAATGTGCTCTATAGATATCAACATCTATTCACCCCATTTTCATGGTTCGAGACTTGCCATCGCACAGGATGGGATGGTTATAGTAATGTACAAGTGATCGTCTTCTTCCCCAGTCCTCCCCTCGGAAAAACATCTCTATCGAGTCTCCCCACTCACCAAAATCACCACACTGCCCAATTGTCGTCGCAAATCCTCCTTGTCCACATCGTGGGTGTCTTCAACCTCCCCCCACATATCGGTTTGCCACTGGACCTCCAAATTGGCCGCCTCCGTCGCCTCCTCCAACCCAAACTTCTTCACCCCCTGCCGTTGCAGATGGCGGAAATTCTCACTCCATTCCACCATCAACCGCACCGCCACCAGCAGACTCTTCGACGCCAGGATCGCCCGCTCCACCCCCGCCAGATCATGCGCATTCAGCTCATACAGCCACGCCCGGATGCTCTCCTGCGTCCCCCGCGGCTGAGAAACGGGCATGATGCTCTCCGTGTCCAGAATCGGCACGATCTCGAGACTGGGCCAGACTTTGGTCGACAAAAAGGCCATGATCTCCTTGGCGACGCGCATTTGGATATTGCGGAGGCTTTCGACGCTGCCGGTCTCGCCGACCCGGTCGAGCGCGTTGCGCTGGCGCTCGGGCTCCCAGCAGAGCAGGCTGTCTGTGTCGAGGTAGCGCATGGCCGTGGTGACGATCTGGTCGCGGGTGGTGCGTTCGCCGGCGGCGTCTTCACGGACAATGTCGGCTGCGCGGGCGGCGAGAGAAGTGAGTGGGATGAGGTGGGATTTGAGGGCGTGTTGGGCGGAGGTCATGACGTCCCATTCGAGAGCGACGGCGTGAGCGAGGTGGGGTTTTGTGGCGGGGATGGAGAGAATATCCTTGTTGGGTGTGCGGACGGGTCGCTTGTCCAGTAATACTTGGTATTCACCTGTTGATAGCCCGAGGGGAACAGTGTCAGAAATGGAAACGTGAACTGGTGAAGCGGAAGAGTTTCTGTGTAGCACAGCGTAGCTGTCCACTCCGTCCCCTCCCCCATTTTTCCCCATCTCTTTCTCGAGATCTTGACGCTGGAATATACCATCATCCCTTTGCCACGTCTCGTCTCGTCTCATCATCATCATCATCATTATCTGACAACGTACCAGTCTTGCCATGCACATGAACATCCTTCCAGAAGCGCTTCTTCAACGGCGACGGCTTTTTCACTTGCGACACATCCTGTGCACCTAGCGTCGACGTCGACAAAGTCTGTGTCTCGTTGGTCTCCGCCAAGACAGGCGAAGCTGCAGGAGCCTTAGGCGGCGGACCATGAGCCGTAAGAGGGTGCGCAACAGCGGCCCTCAAGAGCGAAGAGTGAATATGCCGAGAAGAAACCGCGAGGTTCTGTCGATGAACGGACAGGAAGCGCGCTGATAGCGCATTTCTTGTGAACACGGTCGTCATATTAGATGGTGGCGAACGAGCGGAAAACTAATCTTTTTTCTTTCTTTCTTTCTTTCTTCTTCTCGTTGTTTTTCGCAAAAGGACGCGAGCGATGTCTGTGATAGCACAGCCTCGAGATGGTCGGCAGTAGCAGGTGGATTGTTTGCACTGCGGCTCGGGGAAAATTAATGAAGAGCGGACATGGTTGTTTAGTCCCGGAACCTTTTCCGGCCCCTGCCCGTTTGGGGGAGAATCGGTCCGGCCGCGTTACGTTGAGCGCGTTCAAGGCTCGACGTCTTCTCCGGCGAGCGTGTACCAGCAGAATCAGGACAATGAATAAGCCTGTTGACGCGCTCCTCGTAGCTTGCGTACATTGTAAGTAGAGCTTCTGGCAAAGTAAAAAAAAAAAAAAAAAAAAAAGGTGCTCCAGTGTCAAACCGATCAGACACATACCTTCCTCTCTAGCATCGTAGCGCGTTCGAAAACGGGGGCCCCGAGGTCGGAAAGTCACATGATGCAGATCAGCTGATGCGATGGGCTGTCATGGATATTGCCTGATCTCGCCTGAAATTGCAAGACTACTACCAAGGGTGTACTAAGGTGTCGACTGTATCACGGGAACAGTGTAGTGTTATAACACTATATAAGCTTTTCTATGGTTCAATGGGGATGCTTTCCACCGTACAGGGCCTAGTAGAAGGCTTGGTAGAATATCATGAGAGCAGTATTCGCGCTATGTGAGCTATCTATCTTTCGTTGTCCCCGTTACTATGCAAGTGATTCGGGGAGGAAATTGTTTGCCAATCAACTAAGTGTACTAGTTTAGTCAATTTATCAGAGTATCCAAGGAGGATGGGGTATCTGGGATATTCACCCGCAAGACCAAGGGTTTGAAGAAGTTAAGTGGTGTTCTTGATATGAACGATCTTGGAAAATTGCCAAAGATTATTGATTACTGAGGAGATGAAGATGATCAATCGACAAAGATCCATTATCATCGTTCTCTCCATGATCATTAGAAGCAGCCCCATCAATTCGAGCATAGCAGCTCAGACTGTAGGCATATCGAAAGACTGACGAGAAAACACAAGTCACGCAGCATGTAACAACAAACCCCCGCCGAATGCTTTTGTAATCTATACGAGAAGCGAGAAGAATGAATTTTTTAAAAAAACCAGATGGTAGAACAGGGAATCCAAAGCTGGGGAGGAAGATGAAAATCAAGGGAGAGGGCGAGAGGTTCGTAAATGGACCATCGTGCCGTCGAAGCAAGCCTTTTGAGCGGGAGGAAGAAAGAAGCAGGTTGCAGCGTTTTGCACCGTATTCGACGGCCGGATGAATGCTCGGAACGCAATGCAAACACAAGATGAAAGAAATCGAGGGAAAGGGAGAATGAAGAAACTGAGATAGTAGTGGCGACGACCAAACCAAGGCCGTGCTACCACGCTTCAAGCTCTGTCGGATCGGTATCGTAGAGTGTCGGACACAGAAGAGGAGGACGCCAGCACTGCGGTTATCGAGCTCGCCATGGGCGGTAGGGTCACCACTGATTGGGCTGATTCCATCCACTCATGAAACATGAAAGCACTGCGAGGCGTGAATGTGCGCGCAGTGCTGCGGATCTCTGCGCCCTAATGTTCGCGTGTGAAAGGGGTGAAAGGTGTCTGACATCGAACTCGATGAAGAAACTCAAAGGCAAAAACAGGAGCTAGTACAAGGCAAAGTGCTGAAGAATGCAACATCGACTCGATGAGAGAATGAACGCAGTTCCAGGAGAAGCCAAAAGAAAGATCTTGAAGACATGATGAAATTGGAAACTGAAGATAAACCGCCAAACATGTCTCTAATTCATGTACCACAAATCTCACGGGTACAATTTTCATTTTGGTCATAGGCAGCAAAACAAGATCAAGGAAATAGTCGTCACGGCATTTCATCGTGAAAAGTAACCGGGTCCAAAAGCGACAACACCGATATTGAACACTGAGATTGTTGACTTGCATCATGCGAGATCTCGCTCAACAGACAATAGTTGCACAATCGACAGCGAGCATGACCTGGTAGCAACCTGAATGCTCGGGAAATTTTGAATTGGGTCAAAGGCAGAAGCTGATCGCCGATTAGGCAATGTCGTTCTAGCGAGTGGTGGGCAGTGTCGTAGGACTAGCCGGAGTCCGTCAAGGATGCAATGCGACAAGCGCAAAGCATCTTGCCCTTTTTGACTGGACCTTGATGACAATTAAGGCTTCCCGGAACGTGAAGCGTCAATGCCAGTATGTATGATTCCCTTTCCAGTCATATTGATCTGGGAGTGTAATCACACACGCACACACACACACACACGCATCCACACCCGCATCTCTTCACATGCCCGGCCCCCGATGCTACCTCGTCCGACCCAGCAGGACTGAATCCTACCAAGACAGAGAGGATGACGGGAGAACAAGCCAGGCAACCGCGAGCATGTCCTTGTTCCATCTGGCCTAGACTTCTGCGGACCCAAGGTGGTCGGTCTTTGGTCGGCAAAGCAGAAGAACCGACCACTCATTCGAGGAGATAGCTGGGGTAGTAGGGCTGCTTGGTGCGATCGGCATCCGTGCGTTTCTTCATGCGCTCGGCGTCGTAATCGTCAGCGCCGTCACGGCTGCCCCAAGTCGTCTGGAGAAAAGCGAAAAAGGTGAGATTAGTTGAGATTCCATGATACGAGATGTCCATATCAAAACAAAGAAGATAAAATGGGAAGATTGAACATCATCAACAAATCAGACAAGCATGGCCAGTGTCCGCCAATGGCACGGATCAACAAACTTCGGAGGGGACAAGTGGAGAAGAGCGTCAAGTACATGAGACGGAACATCCAGAGTGGATCGCCAGAAGCCATCTGCACGAGAGAGGAGTCCGTGACCGTAGCGTCTGTCGAGGAATGTCGGCGTGTCCAAGAAGAGGCAAGTCGGATGGGAAGTGGCCCCCCAAGCAGACCAGAGAAGACGCCGGAAGGTAAAAAGGAGGGGCTCGGCTGGTCTCCTCCATTGGCCTGGCCGCGGAGCTCTAGCCCGCGGGTTGAGTGTTGCAGTCCAAGCTCCGTGCTTTGTCTTCGGCGAACCAAAGTAACATTGAAGAGAGGAGACGATAGGGAAGGGTGCACACACGACCGGAGAAGCACAAGAATGGAAGAAAAAAAAATACAAACATGAATGAAGTGAGAGAGGCCTGAAGCAAAATTTCGACCCGGAAAAAAAAAACAGAAAAAAGAAGGAAAAAAAGGAAGAAAAGGAGACAAAAAACTCACCACATTCAAAGTCATCACGGCGTACATCTTGATGGCTCCGTGGAAATAACCGAAGAGGATGGACACGGGAAGGAGGAAGACATCCACAGGATAGCGGATATAGTGGCCCAGCAACTTGATCCACTTGCTCGTAAACATCCACAGATAGAGGAAAGTCATGGCGCGATCGTGCGAAACTTCGCCCCAGCTTGCAGTAGCCTTGTGGCACAACCAAACGAGGAGCAGATCTCCGAGCAATGCCGGAGGAGACAAGGTGGTCATATGTACCGCATAGGCACTCCATGGTTGGCGACTGTCAACAATCAATGAAAATGAAGCATGTCAGCTGTGATCGAGCCATGCAAGGTCATGAAGAGGGAAAGAGAAGTTGACTAATAATGACATGGGAAAGGAAAGGGAAAAAGAGACGAGGGGGTTGGTCGGGGGGAGAGAAGAGGAAGGAAGTCATGGCTCAAGAGGCGGGTTGACAGGCAGTGTAATCTCTCGTTTCCTCGTTTCCCTGCCATCTTTCGTGGAGAAAAGGATGAACGAGTGACTGCGCGATTCGACTCGATCAGAGCGGCTGCTGCATGATTGAACCGGATCTCAGAAGCACGGTGATTTCCGACGCTCACACAGAAAGAGGAATCCGCCGACGCCACCGAGGTGGTACTTTTGGTACTTTTGCTCTGTTTCGCTTACCCCGGTCGGGGGATGGAGAAAGCGACTGCATCAACGTGCAGATATTGTCCTGCTGGCTGTATGCACGAGCATTACAATGTGGAACTGCATTGGAACAGGCGTCTCTTCCCAATGAGGTGCTTCGGCTCAAAGCTCAATGACAGAAGCAAGAAGAATGACTTTTGTCACCTTTTGTGTCTGACACTTTGAGAGGGCAAAGTGACTGAGGAAAATTGCGTGGCAGAGAATGGGAATTGTGCGGCGTGTCGCATTTCTTGACGAGAGAGGAAAAAAAGATGGGAAAGATGTGTGCAATGTGCTTGAGGGCGGGGGGCGCCAAAACTTGACATGCCAGTGGACAGGCAGAAGAAGGTGGGAAACAAAAAACAAAAGAGATAACTTACTACCAGATGTGCTTCTCGTGGAACATACTCGTCAGATTGCTGCGCCAATTGCTGCGAGACCACCGAGCACATTGCTTCAAGAAAACGGGATTGTCTTCCAGCGTGGTCAAAACCTCGGCCTCTGGGTGATATTGCATAAAGGTCTCCCAGCCGTGCGAGACCATCCATCGAGTGATAAAGTTGTCATCATCTGCATTGAGTTGATACTTTCCCCACCACCACTCCTCATTGGTAAAAGCGTAGGTAAAGCCATCGTCCTGGAGAATTTTAGTGCGGTATGCCACTGTCCGGCCCGACATACATGGCAGCCCTCCGTCCATGTTGGTGGTGGCGCCGCAGTCAAAGTTGCGTCGTTCGAGATAGAGGGCACCCAAGAATCCCCAGATGCGCTGGGAGAATGTGGGCGAGGCAGCTCGGCGCAATCGCTGACAAGTGACGACGCCGCCGTACCGCTCATCCTTTTCGAAGGGAGCCAAGATCCAGGGCAAGACAGTGGAAGGCCAGCTAACGTCGTCGTCGGCCAGCAGAGTGATGGAAGTGCGAACCTCGGGAATCGCCCGAGTCATCTGGCGACGCTTGTTGGGATGGGTCACGGTGAACAAACGGATGCGAGCGTCGGACGCGGGCATGGCGCTCAGCATCTTTTCCGCTCGTTTGCGGTTGGCCTCGATGGTCACGAGGAGGATCTCGTACGGCTGATTTTCCAAAATGGATCGGATGGTCTCGACCAACTCGTCTCCGCAGCCCTCGAGGGTGGGGATGATGACCGTCACATCCTGCGAACTGAGTTTGGGGTTCTCGGGGGGTGGAATAGGCTTGAAATTCCAAAAGGACCAGAGATTGACAACGAGGCGGAAGTAGCGATAGCAACTAGAGACGCGATCGTTCAAGTTAGCCTTTCACGTGCACCTCTCAATTCCTGGAGGTGGACAGGGAAGTTGTCGTGGGGGTGGGAGAAGTGGGTTGACGATGGCACTGACAATAGCGCGACAAACGCTCGCAGAAATGGAAATGTCATCGTGACCTGGAGTGTGACAATCGATCCGCAGCAGACTTCGAGCTTATCGACAATCTTGTTTGATGGACTCGTTGTCACCGGAGAGATGGCTACAGCTGTCGATAAGGTATCTGTCGCTATGACACATTAGCTGTGCTATCCATAGCACTTTTCTGACCGTCAGATTTTGACTTACTTGAAAATTGTCTACACAGACACGACTGCTCCCGGCCAATTCGAATTCGCTGTTCTAGGTCAAGGAAATTGAGGAGAGCGTATGGGAGAATGGCGACAAGTCGGAAGCTCGGGATTGAGGATAAGACGCAAAAGAATGAGAAGGCCCAAACGAATGTCGATGGTGGACACCGATTCCTCAATCACAGACCGGATAAGAGGAAGTGAGATCTATAAAATATCTAGAGGAATAGATCCAGAGGAGGAGAAAGAGGAAGAGGAAGAGAGAAGATAGAAGAAGCCAGACTTGATTGACGGGCGTCCAAGACGTTCAATTTGTAGGCACATGCCATTGAACAATGTCCATCACCATAATTCTGAAATAATAATAACATGGAAAAAAAAAAGACTTCATAGACTATTTGATGGATGCGTAGAACCCAAAAAAGAAAAGATAAATATGGAATTTCACCTTTTTTAAGATTTACCCTCCCTGATACCGAGAAAAAGCAAATATTGAATAATGAAAATGCAATATAGCTCAAAAGAGAGAGTTGCGCAACGTTTAAAAGACCGAGAAGTACCCACTCTCATTGGGTCCAGGAAGGAAGCCCGGAGCAGACAAGTCGTAAGAATAAGAAGTAGTACGGTAGTTTACTAATTTAGCAGTTACTTACATAGTGCCAGTACTGTATTGGAAGAAACTACCGGAATCCTCATCTCCACGGGCACCGAGATCAATATGGAGCAAAAAGGGGAAAAATAAGAAACAGAAAACCAGATTAAAAAATTTTTTAAAAAAAAAGACTAGAGAGCTAAAGAGCGAGCAAATCCCCGGTCGCAATTCAGATGCCTCGAGGAAAGGCTCCATGATCGTTTTGAGATTGCTGCAGGTGTAATTTTGCCTCGTGCGTCACAGAACCAGAGACCCTGAATCTAGATGGATGCATCTGGAGAGTGGAGTGGAATTAGCGGCGGCCCATGCAGCGCAGTGACATGGAGTGGAGGAGACTAACGGGAGAACGCACGGAGGATGAGCGATGGTTCGATTCTGGTAATTATTGGTGGTTGATTTTGGATTGTTTTTTTTTTGTCAATCTTTTTTTTTCATGTCCTTTTTTTGTCCTTCTGTTCCTTTTTGAACAAATTCTGCTCCGGCTATGCCGATATATGATTACGAAGGCAGCACAGCATCGTGAGGTTCAGGTGGTGAACTAAGAACGACGAGTAGCTAGCTTGTCCGCCCGTCAAGTATGAAGATGGAAAAAGTAGCTGGTTCTTCGGCCAGTCTTTCTACTTGAATTAGAGATTTCATGGCATTTAGGTGACTATACTCTGATGAATCTTCGAATGAAGGAGCTACTTGAACGGAACATGATTAGCATGGAGGTGATGGACACATAGACTCGAAGCCAAAGACAGCAGAACTTCACTCCCATCCTGTAGATGGTCCGCATCGATCACCAGACGCCGAGAGATGCCGTTGCCATTCTTCCCCTCTGAGCTTCCGAACTATCCCCCCCAAAACTAAGACATAGGGAGGCGTCTACCCACCTCCACGGGTTGTCATGACCAGCCAACGCGACAAGAATAGAAGTCCTGATGGCGTGTGTACTGTGTAGAGCCTCCCGGGTGATATGCACGATCGAGTAGGTACGGCCGACCCATCAACGTCGACTTTCTCCATCCTTTTCAGCTCATGACAGCTGTGCCGTGCCACTTTCGTCCGGGATCTAGGTTCAAGGTTCTAGGTTCTAGGTTCTAGCTCCTTTTCTAACCTTCCCCGAGTCGTGCGATACGCCTGTAGAGAGGGAGAGGGCCCTTCCTTTGCATCATGCGCCTAGTTCTCATTGCCGAAAGTCTGGGCTTGGGGGATGGAGGAGGAGAGGTGGTGGTGGTGGTGGTGGTGGTGGTGGTGGTGGAGGGAGCCACTGAGATGCGCCTGTCACAGCCTCTCTCTGTTCGCTCGCTCCGAGTCATTCTGCGCAACGAGGCAGGCTCAACCCTGACGGGTGGCCATCATCCCAATGGCGACTCCGATTCCCAACTCTCCCTTGAAGGAGAGCCGATCGGCATCCGCGATGGGTTTGTCCAAACTTGTAAATCTTGTTTTGATAGACCCTATTGCTCCTGGTCGTGGTGCATTCTCCATACTTTGTCCGTGACTTGCAGTATTTTGCTTCAAGAGACGAATCAGGGTACTGAGTCTACTGACTCATGACTACAGGAATACCGTACTGTTGCACGTCTGTTTCTGAATCTGTCGAGAGATTGCACCCCCCCCCCCCCCCCCCCCCCCCATAACCGGAACCGGTAACGGTCATTTGATCGGTTTTCAGAGGATGTTTGGTCCAAGTTGGTTTGTGCTCGTGCCAAAAGATATGATCAAGAGAGTTTCTTGTCCGAGTCCAATTCCATGGGTTGCGTGGGGTGCGTGAGTTGGGATTTGCGACCAAGCGTCAGCTGGGCCCCCCATTCTTCGCTGCCACCACCACCATCTCTCTTTCTCCTCTTCTCGCATTCTTTCAGTCCTTTTACGCCCCCCCCCCACTCTCTCGGCCGCGCGTGAACGAGCTCAGAAGGTCAGTGGATGGCTCTGAAACTCCGACTGCTGGCCGGTGGAATTCCACACCTGTGAGTAGGAAAGAGAGTCTTGTATTGGTCGTAGTCCGAGAGAGGCTCTGACTTCTTGTCCTATGACTAGTAACGCTAACTAATACACTACTAATTTCTACCTGATTTCCTACGGAGTAAGTTAGTAACGGACTCGCGCCAGTTTAGGAGCGTTGTCTTGTGTTCAACAAACTCCGTCTTGAGATGATTAGATCAATTGCTCTGAGCGATTGAGTCTCGCATGCTCTCGACGTCCTACTTGCATACATGAGACCTCGTTGTGCTTGTCCACGCGCTCAGGCTAATTCTCAAACGCCGTGGGTTTGCGCTGACTCGTGGGGGTTGGTGTACATTGTACAGTCGGTACAATCAATACAACTACAATCAACAATGTAGTTGTACTCCGTGAGTCCGTACTGTCCAGTGCAGTGCCGCGCCGCGCCTGCTCGAGGCAACCTGCCGGTGGTGTGTGTCTTGGAAAAGCCGAGTCTGCCGGTCTCAGTCTGACCAGGTTGGACCCACTCCCTCTTTAGCGCCTGAGCATGGGCCTTTGTGGATATGCATTGAGCATTCACTCTGGAGAGGCGAGAGTCGAGAGTCTCCACTCTTTCAGGTTGCAGGTACAAGAACGCGATCGACTCAAAGTCAAAAGTCTCCGAAATCTGAATAAGCTCTCTGGGTAAGCGTGTCGACGAAGAGATCCGATTTCAGATCTCATTCATCCAAGATGGACATTCAAGATGGAGAGTTCTCAAGAAGGGAGTCTTACATTTCAGAAAGCTCCTGTCCCCTAAGAGCATGAGTATCACGTCTTACCTCAAAGGTTTGCGATGGATGGTCTCGGTCATGGCGCAACAGCTCAAACGTGAAGCCTCTTCCTATACGACGGTCGCCCCATAGTTCATTACTCTTTGGATCATGATGCGATTCATGGACGAATGGAGCAATTATCATCCAAGGCATCACATGATCCCACATAGTACATGAATACATCAGGTTGACAGGTACTGTACTACGGCGATAAAGGAATCTACTATCTAACGATCTAACTAGTAGATTTAATCTACAGTACGAAAGGTATTCAGGACACGGTCATACGTACCGTACCGACTCTACCGAGTACTCACCAGCCGCGTCTACCAACGGGTCTCTTTCTGCAGTGTCGCCTTTTCCCCCTATCTTCATTATCTCCTCCCATTGATGCGCAAAAGCCACCCTCGAGCTGAGAAAGATAGAGCCAAGCATGTCCGGTCATTACACGCGAGACTTCCCGTTCCAGAACAAGCCAGGCGCTGTATCTGTACATCGGACCAGGGGGTCGACATGAGCCAAGAGGCAGCTCTTCTCGCCAATTGGTGCCCAGTCCGCGCGACTCGCAACTCGACCGAAAAGACAAGTGGAAAAAAAAAGGCCCTTTTATTTTCCCACTCTTGCTGTACGGTTCAGCCGGGTCTCTGATCGTCAATTTCAATACTTATCCAGAAGCAGGGCATCGCAGAGCTGCGCTGCACCACGCTTCAAGGCGCATCTAGGAACAATCTCCTTGGTCATTCTCACTGGACGATCATATTCATTTTGACTGCTTGTCTCTCAAGGTTGAGCGTGGAGTAGAGCGGGGAGGGGCAAGGCTCGATCGCGCCAACGCGCCAGGCGAACTGCCGCAGTCCTTCAGCCAGCCCGATTAGTTTACTGTATTTCCCCGGGGGAAATGTCACATTCTGTGGCATGTGGGAAGTGAAAGAACGTGCTGAAGCTTGGGGTTGGAGGGGGTTCGGAACAGGGACAGGGATGATGCGGTTAGCGACGAGACCAATAGAAGGGCGATTGATGTGGACGTGGACGTTGACATTGACGTTGACACTTTTGGCTGCAGACACTTTATTCGGAAGCTCGTTGAGGCGGTCAATCTGGTGAAGAGGATGGATGTCCACGACTCTGAACTTGTAGTGGCATTGAAATGGTAGTCGCCTTGTTAGAAAGTGTTCTGTGCAGTGTGCGCGGTGCTCCACCGAGAACAAGATGATGTTTTCAGTCTACACTCTATATAGTGTAGACTTACAGGAGGTAGTTCGTGCCACTGCCCTACTCTGTATAACGATATCATTACTAGAATTCAGTTATCCACTAGAGTGACCACACTCACACACAAAGTAAGTGAGTCGTAGTTCCAACCCCCCAAACACTCGGCCTATCTCAGAAAAAGAAATGAAAACTCGATCGCACAGCTTGACCTCGATCTTCTCCCCTTCGGAGACCCCCATCCGCCGCCTTGAGCAAGTCTACCATGATCTCCGTCTAATGTAACAAGCAAGCCGATCAACACCGTGCAATGGATTCGCCAGACCATAGCGCAGTGGCAGACAAACTGAGTCTTTTTCACAGATATCATATTGGTTCCACTTTCCTTGGGAGATCGTCCAACGCCTCTTCCTGTTCAACTTCGTCTAGAGTCTAGACTGTGCCAGTGACGGCCGTGGTCACTGGTCCGTGGCCGTCCCTTTCACGACATCCACATATTCGAAGCAGTCTCGATCAAGTCTCGGGTAGTTCCCAGACCACTGAAAGGGACGAGATGCAATGAACACGCAGCTGAAGGATTGAGAAATGAAGCAGGGCCTAGCCTACTACTGAGTCACTGACTACTCGTACCTAGTAACCAGTGACCACTGCCTACGGAACATGTAAAGACCAAAACAGATAGAGAGGTAGGTCAAGTCTGCGGAATGTCGCCCCATTTAGTTCTCGTGCATCTACGGTTGATGCATGGCTGCATGGAGACGAGCGTGGTCGCAGTGTTGCACTGCCATACCTAATCGATGCATGGTCGGATCGTCGGCCGTTGAACTGTGGCGCGGTCTCCCGTCTTTGCTTGGGCTTTCTGTATCCACGTTGAAGACATGTTCCGGTTGTATATGCCCGCTATACAGACTACTGAGGCTAGTAGCTACTAGCTAGATGCTAAGATGAAATGGAGCCTAGAGCAGGCACTTCTCGCACTTCCCTTTTTAGTTGGCGAATATCAAAATGAATACTTATTCAAAGGCAAGTTTCTCAGCACGACTGCTTGTGGATCGATGATTCAGGACCGAGACGAACGAGAGGGCCCCAACTTGACCAAAGTAGACGACCGTGTTCTTTATCGGTCGGAATCCCCAGCCACGTACAGAGCGTCACCGGTTGACGAAGGTCTCTCTAAAAGGAACAAAATCAAGCTTCGACCGGCCCAGATAAGAAAACGCTCGCGTCAATCGCCCGTGCGTTGAATGAACTCGCTCTCACGACTCGTCACGGACGCTCGACGTAATCGTGTAAACTCTCTGTTGGGTACCTACAATCGAAACCAAGGGGAATAAACTTTGCCCCGACTGAGTCAAGAGACGTAACCTTGTCTCTTCCTGAATAAGCACAGGCACTACTGTATGAGTGTCAGTGTCTGTATGATCGGTTCCGACAGTAGTGTGGATCTCTGATCATCCTCGACCAGCATCGACAAGGCACGGGTCCTACCGTCGTCGTATGCTGAATTGTCGTGGTCTCCACGAAAAAAACAACCCGGCCCGAAAGGAGCTGAGTGGACACTGGAGTACTCGAGTACTGGACGCACTGGACGGTTGCTGGCCTTGTTACCCACTTTTTCCAAAAACGAGAGTGTCCTATTTCCCCATTTCCCATTTCCAACCTCACACTAGTCACGTTAATCGGACGGTGCACGCCGCGCGGAGATTTCTCCACTCGCAGCCGAGTTCTCGTTGAGTCGTTCACGATCGACGATTGTGACCAATGGATAATCTAAACGCCTATCGTAGAATCGAGGTTGCATCGGTTCGCGCCCTGCGAGTTATATGTGGTGAATTTTGTGATCAGCTTCGCTTTTCACTTGCGTTGAACGGAACGTCTGCTGCGTTTGAAGGACCGGAAGTACCGGTCGATCTTTAGGTGTCTTGTCGAAGACATGACAGCAGGGACGAAGATGAGGGAAGTGGTACTATGATAGTCATATGCAATCTCAAGGTACAGTAGTGTAACTGAGCTGGTTCTGGTTCTTCTGAAAGACTGGAAGCACGATCGTGGAGTCATTCCAGATTCTAAACCATTACCTGGTCCAGTAACCCCCATATATACAGCCACCTACCCGTAAGTCACGTAGCAAACACCTTAAGCAACTACCCAGCAAAACAATCTCACGGCATCTATCAGCAACGATATTCGGCCATCAAGGTGAGCCTAGGGCCCATCGTCTAGATCTCGGGTCGTAGAGACCCCTGCTTCTGGTCGCGATTCCGTCGGTCTAGTACTTCCAGACGTAGCTTGTACTCCGATGCTTGAGAACCTGGATCAGTTGAATCAGTGACCCGGGACCACTTGGACGGTCGCTGATCCGGCCGAGAACTTGATTGAAATCACGATCTACAGCCGACGCTCAGGTACTCCATGTACTGCGAAGTGCACACTGCACAGTGCTCAATCTTTTCGAAGCCGGCGTCCTAGAGAAGTTGTTCATGTACGTACAGCAGTACTAGGCTACTAGCAGTAGCAGTAGCACAGGAGCACT